CGGGCCCCCTCCCCACCAGGAAGGCCATGAGTCTGGACGTGCATGTCCCCAGCCTGAGGCAGCAACACACGGGTGTGTGTGACGGTGGTACAGCTGGGTGGGGCCCACAGGATGGAGGGCGGGCCGCCTCCAGCAGGTGGGTGACATGCTGGGACTGATGACCCGAGTGCCTGGTGAGCATTGGTGGCCTTGACTGCCCACGTGCGTTCCTGTAGGCTCGCCAGTCACCAAGGATGCTGAGGGAAGCCTGTGTGTGGAGTACGAGCAGAAGCCCATCCGTGCCCAGCGGAGGCCTGCAGGGCTGCTGGCCGCCCTGGAACACAGTGAGCAGCTGGTCAAGGGGCCTGGCGACAAGGCCCTCCCTGCAGAGGAGGAGGTGAGGGGCTGGGCTGTCTGGAGAGGACATGAATGGCTTGACCCATGATTCCGTGCAAGGGGGCTGAGGGTGCCCTGCTGCTCAGAGTAGTGTCCGTGCTCTGGGGCCCTGAGGCCTGGGTCGGACACAGCTGTGTCGCCTTCAGGCCTGTGGCTGCTCTGCCCTGTTGGGCCCTCGTGAGAAGAGGCCAGCGGAGGAGCAGCGTGGCAAGAGGAGGAAAGTCAGGCTGATTAGCAGCCCGGTATGTGAGCCTTTGGCAGACGCGGGGTTCTGGAGGGAGCCTCTAGCTGTATGGCTCTGAATGGTGCAAATGGTGCACTGGCCTGACTTGTCTGTCCTTGCTGGGGGGCGGGCTCTGGAGTGGCTGGGGCCCAGGGAAGGAAGCTGGGCAGGCCTGAGGGTGGGTGCAGGGGTGGATGAGGGTGACAGACCTGTGGCATGCACTGCGCTTATCCCCTATCCCACCTTGGCCTGCTCTGACTCTGTCCCAGTTCTACTGTGAGAACATCTCAATCTCCACTCAGCTCTCTGAAGCAGCTCAGAGGCCTGTGTGCCCTTCACTGCCAGTCTCATGTCTCCTCCCAGGATCCCTGGGCAGCCCCCCACTCAGGGCACTCCCACCACACCTTGGAGCCCTGCAGACTTGTCAGATTCAGGCTTTTCATTTTGCATTTGTTTTTGGTAGTGTGGTGAAGTCCACACAGGCCCATGGGCTCCTTCCCAGAAGGTTCCGTCTTCCCAGCTGGACAGGATCCAGGCCTGGCCCTTTGGCAGGTTTGGGGTGGCGCCTATAATTGGGCTGTCTCCCCTGGGCTGGGCTCTGCTGGGCTCGGCACGAGCATGCAGGCTGACGTGCCTGAGTGTGAGGAGTGTGGTGTTCCCAGCCTCGGATAAAAGCCGTTAAAGAACAGCTGAGTTAAGTCCCAGAAGCTTCGGAAAGCCCCAGATGCCACTGCCTCTGTCCATTTTCCTTAATTCTGGGAAGGGCCGGGCGGTGCCCAGGGGACTGACACTGAGGGGGTGGCCTGGGTGCCAGGAGCCTGGGACTCTGCAGGCGGAGCTAGGGGACAGCCTAGGAGCCTAGATGGTCCTGGTTGAGGGTCTGGGGTCAGGACTGGGATGTGCGGCAGAAGTGGGGCACAGGGATGTTTGAAGTATGGCACATTGAGAAGTGTCCCTTGCTGTGAGTGGACGGTCTAAGGCAAGAGTGCCCACCGCAGCAGCCCCTGCCGTGGGTGCTGGGAGCTCTGCAGAGGAGCAGGAGCTGCCAGCCAAGAGGGTGAGCCTGTGCTGTCCCTCCGCTGTGCTCGGTAGGCCTGATCACCTCGGCTGAAGCCAACCAGGGGGTTACCTGCTGGCTCCTCCTGGCTGCTCTTGGTGACCACAGCTGGGCCAGGCCAGCCAGTAATCCTCCCTGGCAGCCCCGACAGCAGCTCACTGTCCCTGAGGATGGGAAGGGTCTGCACCACCTGACAGGTGCCGGGCATGTGTGTGCAGGAAGGGCCGGCAGCCAGCATGGACACGGGCAGGGCCAAGCTGTTCATGGTGGCCGTGAAGCAGGCACTGAGCCAGGCCAGCTTCGACACCTTCACCCAGGCTCTGCGGGACTACAAGAGCTCCGATGACCTTGAGGCCCTGGTTGCTCGTCTCAGCCCTCTCTTTGCCGAGGACCCCAAGAAGCACAGCCTGCTCCAAGGTGCCTTGGCCTGCACAGGCTGCCCACTGAGGGTCCTGCCCTGGGGGTTGTGCTGCAGCTGTGGGGTGGGGGCCACCAGGGTCCACGGTTGACCTGCTCCCTGGAAGAGATGCAGGTGGCCCCCCAGTGGCAGCTGCAGCTGCGGGGACCCGCAGGCCCAGAGCCCCACCCCTCCCCTCCCCACAGGCTTCTATCAGTTCGTGCGGCCCCACCACAAGCAGCAATTTGAGGAGGTCTGCCTCCAACTGACGGGCCAAGGCTGCAGCTCCCCGCATAAGCACGGCCATCCCCAGAGGCAGGGGGCACAACTGACCCTGGACTCCAGTGGTGAGCTGTTCTCTGCCTGGGTGGGACCCTCAGACCCAGGTCCGAGAGGAGGGTTGGCACCTGGCTCTTGAGGTGGGCCCTCACGTGGCCCAGCCTCCCTGTTCCTGAGGTCCAGACAGGTGGCCCCATTTTGGGGGTCATGGGCCCTCGGAGCACACATGGCGCGGGCCTCATGGAGCCTGGGCCTGGGGAGTCCTGGAGACCCGCCTGCCCCATCTCTACCTGGAGAGGCCCTGCACATCCAGAGCCTAGGAGCTGCTCTCCCTGTGTAAGGAGGTGCCCACCTCTGGACGAGACTTTCCCCAGGATAGTTGTCATGGTGCTCTGGGATCGAAGATTCCAGCCTGAGTCACCCTTTGCACACCCCACCCTGTGCCTGCCCCCTAGGAAAGAAGCCCCACCCTTCCTGGCTATTGTGACCTGAGAAGAGTTTGAGGCCAGATCTCCCCTTGGAAAGACCTTGTCTCTCCTGGGGCACCCCTGGACCCTCAGGGACCAATGGGACAGCTGCTTGTCTCTTTGTTTCTTCAGGAAGGAAGGAGTCTGACCCCAAGCTGACTGTGTCCCAGGATGCAGCCAGACGACTGGACCCTTGGGAGCAGCTGAACCAGGGCAGGCCCCACCTGGCCTCTGGGCCACTCCCCGCAGGTACTGATCTGAAGAGGTTTCAGGTTAGAGTCAGGAGCAGCAGGAAGACCCTGGGGAGGAGTTGCCGGGGGCCACTGTGGCTCTGATCTCCAGAGCAGGGCAGGTTGGTGTGAGCTCCTGGGAAGCTGCTGGACTGAGACACGTCACTGTCCCATCAGGAGACCGCAGCTGCCCACTGCACAAGGGATCTAGAGCCCCTGGAGCTGAGAAACAGCACCCATCTACTGTAAGCTCCTACCTGGCTGACGCCCGCCGCGCCCTGGGGGCTGCTGGCTATAGCCAGCTTCTGACAGCACTGACCACGTATAAGCAGGATGACGACTTTGAGAAGGTGGTGGCCGTAGTGGCTGCACTCACCACCGAGAAGCCTGAGGACCTACCCCTGCTACAGAGCAAGTGGCTGGAGTGGGGGTGGGAGGGGGCAGGCAGCAGGGCTGGCAGTGGAACCGGCCTGACCCATGATCTCTGCAGGGTTTGGCATGTTTGTGCGGCCACACCACAAGCAGCGCTTCCGACAGATGTGTGTGGACCTAAGTGGCCCAGGCACCCAGGCTCCAGAACCCCAGGAGAGGGGCTCTGCCATGCCTTCTGACCTTGTCCACGAGGCTCCCAGTCCAGGTAGGGCTGCCTGTCTGGTGCTCCTGCTGCCCTGTCATCCAGTCCCCCTCAACCCTTGCAGGGTGGGCAGGTGAGCAGCAGGGAAGCGCCAGGGACCCTCAGACCTGCTTCATTCTGTCTCTAGGCCCCAAGAAGACCCAGAGCAAGATCTCATCCTTCCTTATGCATAGGACGGCTGAGGACACAGGGGCTCCTGGCCCGCCCCTCAGTTTCCCGCGCGGGCAGGCGCAGTTGGAGTGGGGTAGGTCTCCTGGGAAGGGCTACAGGGACTGTTGGGAGTGGGGGCCGGGATGCAGCAGGCCCATGGTGCTCACATCAGGCCCCTTGCAGCGGGCGTGGCGTGTGCAGGCTGCAGGGCGGAGGACGTGGTCTTCTTCAAGTGCCCCTCCTGTGACTTCCTCCGCTGCCAGGCCTGCTGGCGACAGCACCTCCAGGTTAGTAGCCAGGCCCCGTGGACACGGTGATGACCCTGTGGACACGGCCAGTAGGGGTTGCTCCCCACAGTGGGGCTGAAGGGTTGGGGGTAGGGGGTTCCTGGCAGTGTGTCCAGCCCCTTGTCTCCACAGGTCTCTAGGAAGTGCCCTGGCTGCCGTGCTGCCACGAGAAAGCAGACCCTTGCGCAGGTCTTCTGGCCAGAGCCCCAGTGAACAGGGAGCCCCTCTGGGCACTCTGCGGACCCTGAGGCTGCCCCTCCTGGGGCACTGCCTGGACACTTGCCTGTTGGCAAGAGCCTGCCTGACAGGGAAGCCAGTCCAGTGTCTGCGGTGATGCCCCTGAGATGGCAGTGGAATCTGGGTCCCCTGTGGGAGGCCGTGAGGTCATCTTGGGGTTTGGGGTGGGTCCACTGGAAGGTGCTTGCCCAGAACTTGAGTGGATGCCAGCCTCTGGGCAGAGCCCCCATAGGAAGGAAAGGAGCCTTGTCCCTTCTGGGGTAGGGGGGTGCCCTCAGTGGACCAGCTGTTCACCAAGGGACAGAGATGCAATAAAGCTGTTGGCACTGCTGGACGTGTCTGCATGTCCTGGGCTGGTTGGAGGGGTGAGGGTTCCAGGGAGGATGGGGACATCTGAGCAGTCTCCCTTCCACATGCTTTGTCCAAAGGGGAAACCGCTGACCCTTCCACCCCGCAGTTGCCAGGCCTGGTAACGGCATCAGGCCCTGCCCTTTGCGCTGGGGGCCGTCACAGGACCACCCTAGCACCGGCTCTGGAGGGAGGAGTCAAAGCCTAGGTCCCTAGGTCGCCGACCCCTCCTCCTCGGCGGGCGGGGCTCCGCGGGGCGGGGCCAGACCGACCCTTATAGGACGCGGCCAGAGGCCGCCGCAGCTCCACCGAGACCATGAAAGCTCCGCCGGTGACTGCCCTGCTGCTGGCGCTCGCGGCACGCGGGGCGGTAGCAGGCGCGCCAACCTACCCGTGGCGGGACGCAGAGACGGGGGAGTGGCTGGTGTGTGACCAGTGCCCCCCAGGCACCTTTGTGCAGCGGCCCTGCGGCCGGGACAGCCCCACGACGTGCGGCGCGTGCCCGCCGCGCCACTACACGCAGTTTTGGAACTATCTGGAGCGCTGCCGCTACTGCAACGTTATCTGCGGGGAGCGCGAGGAGGAGGCGCGGCCGTGCGGGTCCACCCACAACCGCGCCTGCCGCTGTCGGTCCGGTTTCTTCGAGCACGCCGGCTTCTGCCTGGAGCACGCGCCCTGTCCGCCCGGCGCCGGCGTGGCCGCTCCCGGTGGGTGAGGGGCGGGGCGGACCCTCCGCCGAACAGGGACCACTCTGCTCTCCTGACCGCGGCCTCCCCGTCTCATCCCTAGGCACCCCCAGCCAGAACACGCAGTGCCAACCGTGCCCCCCGGGCACCTTCTCCGCCAGCAGCTCGAGCTCGGAGCGGTGTCAGCCCCACCGCAACTGCACGGCCCTGGGCCTGGCCGTCAATGTGCCTGGCTCTCCGTTCCACGACGCCCTGTGCACCAACTGCACGAGCTTCCTGCTCGGCCCACTGGAGCCGGGGGCGCCGGGTGAGCAGGGGGCGGGGTGGGGGTGCTCTGGGCTTATTAACTGGTTCCTGGGAAGGGCTTCCGGAAGCGCGGTGGGGGCGGGACCAGGAGACTATCTGGCTGAGGGTTTCAGCACTGGCGGGTGATGCCATTTCCCGCCGGCATTGGGAAATGGGCTTCGAGGGTTTAAACGGTTCGCGGGAGGGCACGGCAGCGAGCCGTGGCGGGCCCCCTTCGCGTCGCATCCCATTCTCAGGGTCAGCCCACGAGCCACACTCCTCGTCCGACACGTTTCCTGCGGTCGCCTCGGACCCTCTGGCACGGCTCTCGCCTCGCCATTCTTGAGCGTGCGGGGACCCCTCCATGGTCCTGTTCTCCCGGGGCGCTGGCACCTGACTAAGTACCTCCTTGCTCCACCTTCCCGCAGGGACCGAGGAGTGTGAGCGCGCCGTGGTCGACTTCGTGGCTTTCCAGGACATCTCCCTCAAGAGACTGCAGCGGCTGCAGCAGGCGCTCGCGGATCCCGGGACGCGGAGCCTTCCGCCACCGCTGAGGGAGGGCCGCGCGGCGCTGCAACGGAGGCTGTGGCAGCAACTCATGGAGCTTCGCGAAGCGCGGCCCGGGGCGCTGGGGGTACGGCTGCTGCTGGCGCTGCGGGTGGCCAGACTGCCTGGGCTGGAGCGCAGCATCCGCGAACACTTCCTTCGGGCGCGGTGAGCACCCTTCCTGGTATTTGTTCACTGTAATCCGAGCTCCTCATGCTGCACCGAAGGCGGCTTCGGAACCGGCCCCTGCAGCGCTAAGGTTATTTTTCATAAAACCGATTGGTAAACGAGTGTCCAGCCTGCCAGTGAGCGCTCTGCACCCCGGGGAGGGACACACCTGGGCGCGCTGCCTAGCAGCAGTGCCCTGTCCACTGCCTTCCCTCCCACTGGGACTGACCCTCTCAGGTGGTAGGGTCGCGGGAGAGGACAGCGGGCAACACCCCTCTCTCAAAGTTTCGCTGAGTGATTAAGGAGGTGTGGAGGGAGGGAGGGCGAGTCAGAGTTCAAGGGCTCCACTGTGGAAAAGGCCAAGTCAGAGGAGTCAGCGCCAGTCTGTGTGCCCTGAGGTGCCAGGAAGTGTCACCTTCAAGCTGCCCCTCTTTGAGGCTCCACCCTCAAAGAGGCAGGGAATTTCCCAGCAAGGGACTAGCCAAGACCTCTGGGTAGGACAGTGTGTCCCACTCACTTTCTGGGAAACGACGCTTTTCCCTTCTGGGGCAGGTTCAGATGAGGCCTTGACTCATCAACCTAGGACTCCCAGTCCCGGCAGCCCCCACCAGCCCTGGAGGCTCCTGCCTGACCTCCAGGAAGGGCCCCAGGGACAGAGGCAAGGTCAAAGCATCCCCTCAATGAGTCACCTCACCTGCAGCTGGTGCCCACCCCCAGCCCTGACTCATCCTTTTCCCAGCATCTCCTCCCCAGCTGCCTGGGGAACCTGACCTGCAGATAAAGCCACCGGGCCTCTGAAGAATGATGGATGGGAGCCACTCCAACTCTTTATTTTGCCCATGGCTAGGCTCACAGGGTGTCACCAACTTCCACAAAGGTCCATGTGGGAGGGTCCTGAGGACCAGCCTTGCCTGGAGGGCCTCTGCTCCCAGACACAGGACTGGAAAAGGCCCAGACCTGAGAGCAACCCCAGCCCTCACCACCCAGCTGGGAGCACAGGCCCAGCAGACTACTACCCTGGGCTCCTTGGGACCCTGCTGGCCTTCCTCACATCCCAAGTTTGTATCTAGGTTATTCTGGGTGCATGGCAGGCAAGCTGGGGGTGGTGGGGAGCAGATGCCCACTACCAGCACAACCACCTAGCTTTCCCATTTTCACTGGAGATCAAAACAAGGTGGCTGGGCCAGTGGGTGGGGCTCACAGCCTCCCAGGCAGGTCTCCCTGCCTCCTCCTGAAGCTGCATCAGGACAGGGACTGCAACAAGCCCAGGTCTCCCTCAGGTGACAGCAACCCCCACCCCCCACCTGACTCCAAGATCAGAGGGCAGAGGCCAAGGACAGTCATAGCTGCCTCCATAGGCATGAGGCAGAGAGCAGCCTTGAGGACTATGGAAGGCCCCACAGCTCTGAAAAAACCTATTTCCAAGCAGCTCCCCACCAAGGTCCCATGCAGGGCCAAACCGGCAGGCCTGCTGGGGCAGCAGCTCCAAAAGGAGAGGTGACCCGCGGGGGCCCCAACCTGGGCCTTGGGCAGGTCTAGGCCTGCTATGGCCATAAGTTCTGCTGGTGGCCGGCTGGCGTCCCTAAGGCCCCAGCACCCCTCGCAGAAGCTTCCGGATGCCTACACTTTTCTGGACACAGAAAAATTTGTCTTAGAGAAGAAACAAAGCAAATGGGAAAACGAAAAGGCAAAGCCGACCCAGCCCCCAGGATTGGTGGTGTGGAGCGGGCAGGAGCTCTTCAGGACAAGCGGTGGGCGCACAGGCAGGTGTGCCTACGTGATGTCCCGTTGCCGCGGCGGCCGGTGCACATTCCGCACGACGCACTTCACCATCCACTCAATGCCCTCACGCACCCCCTTGCTGTGGAGACAATGGACATGAGGCAGGGCTGGCCGTGGCCCCCGATGCCCAGGGTGAACCCTACTCACCCAGTGAGGGCCGAGCAGGCCTGGGTCAGGCAATCCCGCCTGCCGATCTTGGAGGCACAGTCGCTGAACGCAGTCTTGATGTCAGGGATGGAGAGGCAAGTCTGGGGGAGGTGAGGCCATGAGGGGCAGCCCTGCCACCCTATTCACCCTCTACCCCTGGAGCAGTTCCCAGAGCTGTGGGGGTAGAGGGCAGGTGGGAAGCTGCATGGCACCTTTCAGGAGGTGCCTCCTGGCTGCTGTCTAGGATACCTGCCTGGTGAGCAGCCCCAGGGAGACACACCCTGGCAGCACGACCCAGATGCTACAGGAACACGCCACCTGCCTGTTCAGGGCCTCCTCCACGTGGATGGCTGCCACGATGCCACCTCTCACCAGTGGTTCATGGAATGGGGCCAGTACAGCTGCTGTGCTCAAGGGCGGCAGACAGGTTGGTGTCAGCACTGACTCCCACCCTGAGGTGCTTCTGCCCTTCTTTCCAGACCTTCACCTGGGTCTGCCAAGCAGGAGTTCCCTGGCTGCAGAGGAATGGGGCACTGCTGCCTCTGGTGCAGAGGTGCCAGCACAGCAGGAAAAACCCAGGGGGTGGGGGTGCTCTGTTCACCTGTGGCAGCCACACTCAGGCTAACTGAGGAAGGCAGCAGCCCTCCCCTGGGACAGATACCCCATGTGGCAGGAGCAGGAGCCCATTTGGCATGGGGGCTCACCTCAACATCCTGCTTATTGGCCAGCACCAGGATAGGGACACCGTCCAGCGCCTCGCTTATGACCATCTTCTCTGGGGCGGGCAGAGAGGCAGCAGTGAGCGCCCTTCATCCGCCTCCACACAGGTCCCCACATCCCTGCCGACCCCACATGGACGCACTTGGCTGGCACCCTCCTGTCCTGGAGTGGCCCAACCTCCCCCCAGCCCAGCTCTGGAATGGGGGCTGTGCAGACGGAACCCTCCCACTCCCCGCATCCCCAGCCTGGCTGGCTGTACCCACCAAACGCCTGTTTGGACTCAGACAGCCGCTCCTCGTCCGTGGAGTCGATGACATAGATGACGCCATGACACTCTGCATAGTACTGGGCAGGAGCAAAACCAGGTGCTGAGCCTCAGGCACCCAGCCATCTCTGGGCAGCCCCCAGCTGGGAGACCCTGCTAAGGTGCTTCCTGGAGGTGGGGCAGAGTGCAGATACACCCCAGACCTGCTGGGACAGGGTGGCCACCTTCCTCACCCACTTCCCAGGTGCTGTGCTCTGAACCCCACTTCAGGATCCACTGCTGAGACCCACCCACACCCCCTGGCCTGAGAGTGGCCAGAGGAAGAAGGATGGAGCTCTGGGTCTCTGTACACCTGGGTAAGGGGACCCAGTGCAGGCAGCAAGGCAGTAGGTATACCAATAGGGGGCCACAGAAGGCCTCCAACATGTTCAAGGCAGCTCTGACCCCCGCGTGGGACAACAGGGCCAATGACAGAGCCATGCCAGGGAGTTCGGAGCTCTGTAGGCTGGCACCAGCATGCCAGCCGGTCCTGGGTTCCTGCAGCAGAACCACACAAGAGACCCCCCACCCCCCCGACACACACACACACACACACACACAAGCACCAGAGCCCAGGGTACAGGGAGAGCTATGGGGAGTCAACAGCAGCACGCCTGGGAAAACAGACACATGAAGCAAGGCCTGGTGCGTCCACCTCTGTCTTGATGTTCAGAGGACAGAAATGCCCACATTGCAGGAGCAGGTGATTGCATCCTAGACCCTTGTCTCCACCCCGGCTCCTGAGCAGGAGCTCAGGAACTGGGAACACCCGCACATTCCCCAACATGGGTGGCCTCCTGGTCCACAGCCCAACCATGAACCCCAAACCTGGGGCCTCTCTGGCTGGCCTGCTTGGCTGATACGGGACCCAGGAGCTGCAGCCTAACAGTGCAGGCCTCCTAGGCAGACAGGGGCACTGTGGTGTTTGCAGCAAGTCAATGAGGGAATCACTACTGTGGGCCCCAGAACCCTGTGGTGGCGGAGAACTTCAACTGGTGTGTGACTTGGCCCCAGCAGATGGGGGCTGGGTCCACCAGCGGGGGGTAACCAGGAAGCCATGGCAGCTGTGAACCCACGGTGCCCACCAGGCCCAGGTCCTGAGGCTCTCAGGTGCAGCCTGGAGAGACAGAGGCCACAAGTCCTCCCTGTGGCAGGGTGCCAGAGGGTCCACTGGGTCCACAGACATGGCCTGAAGCCGGCACGTGCAGAGACCTATAGGTACTAGCTCGTGCCACGAGCAGAGGTGCTGGGTGGAGGTGAGGCAGTGGAGGTGGGAGTGAAGGTCCGCCAGATGGTGTCGGACTGCAAAGGGGCAGGGACAGGCCCCAGGACATGGTCTCAGAACAAGGGGAGAGCAGAAGGCCCACTTTACACCCCTCCTGGTGACTCACATGGTTGGGGACATGGTCACCCCTGTGCAGCCCAGTCACCAGAGACCAGCAAAGCCCTGGCCTGGCAGGGGCACTTGATGCCATCAGGAGGCGGGGCACCCACTCCATCTCAGAGTCGGGGAGCATGTGAGAAACCGAGGGCCCATCCTGCCGAGATGGCAGGCTTAGTCCTCGTGAGGAGGCAGTGGCAAGACCATGGCATGAGCAGAAGTGGAAGCTGAGGGCCACCACCAACCACAAAGCTGGCTTCCCCTCAGGAAGAGCCAGTCCCCAGCCAGAGGCGCAAGGGCAGCAGAGAACCTTCACTGCCCATGTCCTGGCTGCCATGGTGGGCAATGCGCCCAGCACAGGGCCCCTTGTTAGCTCCTGGAGGACCCACTCTGACCCACCAGAGCTACCTGAGCACGTCGTAGCTGTCCACCATGGTGACCTGCCAAAGGGACGGGGTCCCAGCCAGCTTGGCCTGACATGGGGCAGCGCCCAAGATGACCCTGCCCCTGGCTAGGCCTTCATCCCCCACAACACTTGCCAGCTGCTAAACTCTGACACACCTGGCCCCTGCTACTCCGAGGCCCTGGCCTGTAAAGAATGTCAGGTCCCCATGTGGATCTGAGATTTGAACAAACAGCCCCTGGCTTGGTCCAACTTAAATGGTCACAGAGGGCCTGTCAATGACCTTCTGGCCACGGAATGGAAAGGGTCCTCTTGGCTGGAGGTCAGGACAGGGGGGACACTTTGGGGAGGAGGGGAAAATGACCAAGGACCTCCTGCTGGGGTCAAGCCAGAAACCAAGACTAGGGCATTAGACATCAGCAAGTGCCGGGGTAGTCAGTGCCCCTAGAACTGGGTGAGCCTGTCTGTGCCCCCGGTAGTCCACCGCGTGGGGGAAGGGAAGAGGCTCATTCCACAATGCTCTCTGCTGGACCCTGTGCCTGACAGAGGCTGAGTGAAAGACTGATTCTGATTCTGAGGTCTCAGAAATGCTTCAAACCCAGGTTGAAAGAAGAGACGTGAGCCTTGGAGGACATCCTCCCCTCAGTAGGTGGGACCCCATGGGGGAGACTTGGGCCCCGGGGCTGAAGCTGAGAGCCAAAAGGCATTGTGTCTTCCCTGCTCCTCAGGCATCCTTTGTCTCATCTTGTGCTGATAAGCAACAAAATCTCTAAACCTAAAGGAACCAGTGTGTCCCTGCTCTTGGGGGTGTGACTGGGGAAGTGAGATAGGGGTGAGCCTCAGGAACCAAGTGGGTCACAGAAGCTGCCAAGAGTAAGGAAAGAAGAGGAATCCTAGGCCTTCTGAGAAAAGGAAGGAAGAGAACAAGGTACCACCCGGATAGAGATGGTGCCAGGGAGCTGACGTGGCACCCACCCATCTTACCTTGTCCCACAGAGACTGCAGCTCCTCCTGCCCCCCCAAGTCCCAGAACATCAGGCGGGCCTTTCCCACGTCCACAGTGCCGACTGCGGAGAAGAGACAGGTGAGGCTGCAGTTTTGGTCCCTTACCCACCAGCTCCCAGCTCTCCTGGGAGAAGCAGGCTGAACCTGTGCTCCACGATGCTGGAATCAACGGTAGCCGGAGCAGAGGCCTCACCCATGGCCTTTGCACACTGCAGCATCCTCAGGGTTCTGCCCCCAACCCACACCCCCAAAGGACACTTACTGTTTAGGCCCACGGTGGTAGTGATTTTGGACAGACTCATCCCCTTGTAGTTCTTGTTGAATCGGGTCTTTGACTGCTCCAAGAAGGTCTAAGGGCAGAGAGAAAAAGGCGTAAGACAAGAATTGCAATAGTTTTCAAACACTCCTCCTGGGGCTTATTCCTTTATAATAAGGCAAAAGAGAACAACGTTTGCCTTTTAAAGCGGCTGGTGGTAACTACCCTATGACCTTAAGCTGGGTTCAGAGCCTGTCTAGGTGGAGAACACGCAGCTAAAAAAAACACCGAAAGGACTGTGGGAGTGGGGGGTGGCGCTGACACGGAGCCGCACTCACCGTCTTCCCGGCGTTGTCCAGACCCAGGATCAGGACGCAGTACTCGTCCTTCTGGAACATGTACTTGTATAGGCCCGACAGCAGCGTGTACATCCTGCCCTGGGCACCCGAGATCGGTCACGAACGAGCCGGCCCGCACGGCGGACAGAGGGTCCCGCTGCCCGCACGGCCGCTCACAGCTGGAGCCCAGGGCCCTCCTGACTCCGCCTCCCCTCCCCTCCTCTCCGCTCGCCTTCACCTCCGCAACTGCTACAGAATCGCCCCGGCGCTCCTGGTGCCCACACTCCCACTCCGGCCCGGCCAGGGCTCTCTGCTCTCAGGCAGAGGGCAGCCCGTCCCGCCTCGCTTCTCGCCGCTCCCCCGCCCGGGCTTCCTTCAGGCTTTGCTTCCCTCGGGTCTCCCTAACCAACGCCCGCTTCGCTCCCGGCCCTCCACGAGCGCCTCTCAGAGGCGGGGCGTCTCAGGGCTGGTGATTGCCCCGAGCAGCCGTGAGGCGGGCGGGCGGCGCGGACAGACTGCGGATCGGTCGCCGAGCCTGAGCCCAGCTCCGCCCACCCGCCTCGATATACCTGCGACCGCCCGGCCGAGCCGCCGAGCCGGGAAACCGCCTCGCGCCTAACCCACCGACCCCGCGCTAACCCCGCGCGGTGCCCGACGGGATGCGCGCAGGTCGGCCGGGGAGGGGCGGAGCCGTCCCGGCAGCCCCCGCGCCAGATACTTCCGCCGGCGGCGGCGCTCGGGCGGAAGCGCCTGTGGGCTGCAAGGGCGGAAGCGGGACCCCGGACGGCTTTGGCCGGTGAGGCCGGCTGGCCGTCTGTGGCGGCGGCCGGGAGACCGCGCGGAGGAGGGCCTGGCCGGGGCGAGGGGGTCTGGGCGACGGGGCCTTGGCCCGAGGCTGCTGGCCGAGCGGAGACGGGCGGCGCGAGGCCGCAGGGGTGGGCCCGGCCGGGGACACTAGACTTTGACGCATAGACCCCGGAAGAGCTTGAAGGCAGCTCCCGGGAAGGGAATCGAGGCCGTGGGGCCAGCGCCCAAGGGCCAGCTTTGGCTCCTCCTCTCGGAGCTTGAAATCTCCCCAGGTCTAAACGAAGAGACTGCTGTTCACGGTTGTTCAGGCTGTCCACCGAGGGTTGCGGTCGGCCAGCGCTCAGTGCCGGCGTTGCAGCGGCCGTCGGTCCCAGACTTACCTGGCTTCTCTTCTCCGCAGCTCTGGCTCCCACGGCTCCCCTCTGAGGACCCACGGACCCAGCCCCGCAGGCCCGGGAAGTCGGCCCCTCCTGGCAGGATGGACGAGGAGAGCCTGCAGACCGCCCTCCGGACCTACGACGCGCAGCTGCAGCAGGTGGAGCTGGCCCTGGGCGCTGGCCTGGATCCCTCGGAGCTGGCCGACCTGCGCCAGCTGCAGGGGGACCTGAAGGAGCTGATCGAGCTCACTGAGGCCAGCCTGGTGTCGGTCAGGAAGAGCAAGCTGCTGGCGGCGCTGGATGGAGAGCAGGAGGATGCTGAGCCTTTGGCTTTGCAGAATGCCATCGCTGAGACGGTGGAGGTGCCAGTAGCCCCCGGCGCAGAACTGGAGACTGTTCCTTCGAGAGAGACTGGGCCAGGACCCACGGAGCCAGGGCAGGAGGAGGACGAGGGGGAGGACGAGGAGGGCGGGGAAGCACTGAGTGGGAGAAAGGTGAACGCCCCCTACTACAGTGCCTGGGGCACCCTGGAGTATCACAACGCCATGATCGTGGGCACCGAGGAGGCGGACGACGGCTCCCCGGGCGTGCGCGTGCTCTATCTCTACCCCACTCACAAGTCCCTGAAGCCCTGCCCGTTCTTCCTGGAGGGGAAGTGCCGCTTCCAGGAAAACTGCAGGTAAGGCCTGAGTTCCCTAGGCCCCCTGGCAATGGGGGGGAGGGGGGCGCGCGCGGGGACTTGCGGACAGAACCTTTGCAGTTCTTTGCAGTTTTGTTTTTCTTGGCCGAGCAAAACGCTGAGAAGAGAACTTCATAGGGGCAGGGGGTTCTTCTAGCAGTATCCTTGTTTAGGGGTCTTCTTGGCTTTTCCCCAGGTATGTCAGAAGTAAGAAGGGCTTATGTTGAAAAGAATGGAGCCGCCCCCCCACACACACCAGTGACCTGTCTTATGCTTCAACGTGAAACTTCTAAAATGTACTTATATTTTAGATATTTTATTAGAGAAGTTGTCCCACCCTTGCCAGGTGGAGCCTTTTCATGTTGGCTCCTCGCCCTCTTGACACGGTCCCAGAAATCAGGATTCCCCACCCTCGCCTGTGCTCTTCCTGCCACAGACCTGAAAGCAGCCAAGTCTCTGAGAAGCCCTGGTTTCTTTTAATGGCAGATGCTATTTCAAGATTCACAGTGGAGGCCTTGGGTTGAACTTCGCTGCAGGGGGCTCAATTCTAGGTCTCTTCAGCAGACAGAGCTAGGAAGTGCAGGTGGACACACGCTAATGTTTGTGTTAGTGCATCTGTATGTTCAAGGACGAGTGCCTAGTGAGTTCATACTGATTTCTTAATCTTTTCTGGATTGCATCTGTATATCTTTCTCTCCCTCAGGACTCTGGCCCTCAAGGACCAACGTCCCATAATTAACTTGTTTTATCCCATTCTGCATACACAGGACGCTCTCAGAACAGCATTCATTCTTTAGTTATGACGACCGAAAACTGTTTAAAGCGTTTTGACGTGTACCTCCCATTCTCCCTGCCATCTGACTGCACTAGACCTGCACAATTGGCTCTCATGGCTGTCGCAACCCATTGTCTCCCTTCACACTCAGCCTTAGTTCTGGAAGGAACTTAACATCTCCTGCTCCCATCTACCTGTCAGTCAGGGTCTTAGTCCTGTTGGTTGTCTGAGACTCATTTTCTGGTAGGTTCTTTAGGAAGGGCTCACAGGAATAACATCTGTAGAGACCTAGCATGTCTGTTAGGCTCTGGTTGTGTCTTTCATGAAGACACAGTTCAGCAGTTTTGATGAACATGTATATATGATTCTTGGGTCACGTTTCTTTCCTTGAATATTTCGTATAACTTACTCGATTTTGACATAAAATATTGTTAAAGTTTTTTTTTTCCCTTGTAAATTACATGCTCTAATGGTATGATCTGAGGATCCAACTTTATTCATTTGCATGTGGGTATCCAATTTCCTGGGGCTTCCCAGGTGGCTCAGTGGTATAGAATCTACCTGCCAATGCAGGAGCCATAGGAGATGTGAGTTCGATCTCTGCATTGGGAAGATCCCCTTGAGGAGGAAATGGTAACCCACTCCAGTATTCTTTCCTGGGAAATGCCATAGACAGAGGAGCATGGCAGGCTACAGTCCTTGGGGGCGCAAAGAATCAGATACGACTGAGCACAGCACATATGTACAATTACGTCATTGACGAACAGAGATACTTTTGCCTATTCTCTTCCAATTCGGCTGGCTTTTATTCCTTTTTCTTGTTTAACTGCCCCGCCTAGAACTTCCAGTACTGTACTGAATGCAAGTGTCGGGAGCACTTCATGTCTGGTTCCTGATCTTAGGGGAAAGTACCCCTCCTCCCCTTCTTGAGTGTGATGTGAACTGTGGGTTTTCTGTAGATGCTGTTTATCAGGTTGAAGTCGTTGGGTTTTTTCCAGGTGTCTTTTCTATATCAGTTGATATGCTGGTGTTCTGTTGATGTGCTGTGTTTCATTGAATGGCTTTCACCTGTTGAGCCACCCTTGCATTCCTGGGATAAACCACAGTTATGATGTGTACTTATTCTAAATGCTTGTCTTCTCATTCATGTGTTTACTTATTATTCTAGAGGGTGTTACTCATAAATAATTATAATTATTCACAAATAATTATAATTATTCATAAATCATAAGCACTATTCATAAATGTTGTGAGGTAGATGATTAAGTGGGGGTGTTGCTGGGGGTTTGAGTTTGGGAAACGTTTTAAATTTTTTCCTTATGAAATCTGTAGTCTATCTTTTCCTCCTCTGTCCTGTGTGGATTTTGTCATGTGAGAGGCTTTTCCTGGGTGCCCTTCATTCCATGGTCAGCCTGCCTGTGCTCTTAGTTGACACTGATTTCATGCACATGTCATTAACTACTCCCATGGTTGGGAACTTTGATTATTTCTGAATCTTCCATGTTTGGTTCATACCCTTCTAGCTCAATCTTTGCATATGTCCACCATATGCAAAGTCCACCATACTTTTTTAGGGTCATTTCATAGAAGCATTTGCTGGCTTAAGGAGGACACCAAAATTTAGAGCTTCTAAGAGTACTGAAGATTCTTGCAGGGAGGTTTATTGGCGGTGTCTGGGTGTGTTGAGGAGGAGTTTGGCCAAACTCCCCTTGGGTCTGGGTCTCATTCCTCGGTTGAACAGGACTCTTCAACCACCGTGCCAGCCAAAAGACATGTGGACTGGTATTGCATCTGCTGGTGCCACTGGTCACTGGCAGTACCCTGGGTGCCTGAGGATGGGCAGGGGTGAGAAGGAACTGCTCAGAACCCCACCCAGGAAGGTGGCTGAAATGCATTCTCTCCTCTCCTTTCTTCCCACGGTCTCCCCACACGAGCCTGGCTGTGTGTCGGAGCCAGGGCCTGTCTTGGCTTGCTCTTGTGGGTTAGAACGCTTCTTCCCTGAAATGGGGCACTGCAGGAGATGTGTGTCTGGTGCCTTCATGTCTTTATTTGGCCAAGTTCAAAGTTGCAGCCCTCTGTTCCCATACTTCCTGTCCCACCTCCTCTCTCCTGGTTTTTGTTTTGGTTTCACTGTTTCAGTGACACCTAGAAGACAAGGCAGCACCATTACAACCAGGTCCTCCTAGTTGGTTGGGGAGGACTCAGTCCTGCAAGTGAAGCAAGCAGAACCCCTGTCTTAATGACCTGTTGTGTCCAGTGGAGAGGTGCCGGGGAACTGTTGTCACAAGTGTGTCTCCCAGCCACATGTGCCTGTGTGTGCGTGACTCCAGCCCAGGAGGCTGGCGAGTAACCAGAAGCATTTAGTCCTCAGGGCACCCAGGTCCATCTGAAAGTGAGAGCACAAGCACAGTATGGGTGTCCATACATGTGCGTGTGTACACACATGTGCATACACATGTTTGTGTGCTTGTGTGTAGTAAGTGTGTGTGTGCCTGTGTATGGTGCACGTGTGAATGTATGTGCCTCTTTGTGTCCATGCATGTGTGTACATACATGTGTGCATGAGTGCATGCATATGTGTGCATGTGTGTATATGCATGCATGTATAGGTATGGGTGTGCATGCATATTTATACATGTGTTCAGTGTATACATCTGGGTGTGTGTACATGTGTGGGTGTGTTTCATGTGTATACATGTGTTCAGTGTATGTGTAGGCATGTGTACGTGTGTGTGGGTGTGATGTGTGTGTATACGTGTTGAGTGTATATGTGTGGGTGCGTGTACGTATGTGTGTGAGTGTTGCATGTGTATACATGTTGTGTTCAGTGTATATGTGTGGGCCTGTGTACATGTGTGTGGGTGTTTCATGTGTCTGTATACGTTGTGTTCAGTGTATATGTGTGGGCCTGTGTACGTGTGTGTGGGTGTGTTGCATGTGTTTATGTACATGTTGTGTTCAGTGTACATGTGTGGGCCTGTGTACGTGTGTCGGGGGGTGTTGCATGGGTCTGTATATGTTGTGTTCAGTGTATATGTGTGGGCCTGTGTACGTGTGTGTGGGTGTTGCATGTGTCTGTATACGTTGTGTTCAGTGCGGATGCGCATGATTGTCACATGCGTGTCTGTGGATGTCCGTGTGGACGCGTGTGTCCCTCTGCATCTCTCTCCCCACCGGGTGGTGTCCGGGCAGGTAGACTGGAGTCTCCGGGCTTGTGGGAACCTGATGGCAGTACCTGAGCTATGCGGCCCTCTCTGCAGGTTCTCGCACGGGCAGGTAGTCTCAGTGGACGAGCTGCGCCCCTTCCAGGACCCGGACCTGAGCTCCCTGCAGGCCGGCTCTGCATGTCTGGCCAAGCGGCAGGATGGTCTGTGGTACCCAGCACAGATCACTGGTGAGGCTGCCCCGGGGCCTCCCTGACAGGCCCTTCCCAGGAAGCCCTCTCCATGTGTTACATGTGTTAGTCCTGCATGACTACTCCTCTGGGTGGGTGTTGGGGTCCCACCCCACACATGAGAAGAGCAAGACCCCCTTGGTCTTGGCCCCACCCTGCTCCCACCTTCCAGAACGGCTACTTCCATGCGCTGCCCTGCTGCCTCTGTGCCCCTCCAGATGTAGACAGCGGCTACTACACGGTCAAGTTTGACTCTCTGCTGTTGAAAGAGGCCGTGGTGGAGGGGGACAGCATCCTGCCCCCACTGCGCACAGAGCCTGCAGGGTCCTCTGACTCGGACGGCAGCGATGCAGACGACCCCAGCTATGCTCGAGGTATGGCTGCTGCCACCCCCAAGAGGCTCCCGGCTGGCAGGGCCCACACTGTGGTCAGTACAAGGACGCACTCCTGGGGAGACGAGGGTGTGTGATGGATCTGGGGCACGTCCAGAGACCCACAAACACAGAAACCATAGTCCCATGCGAGCCACAGGAGGGAATGGGATGCACAGGAAGGGACAGCTTCCTGCAAGGTGCTGGGACCTGTTGGCTGGATGAAGGATCAGCTGTCAGTGTCTGGCCTCCCCCCAGGGGTGGGGGTGCCCTCATGGGGTCTGTTAGCCGCATTGTCCATACTGATGGCAGGGAGGACTGCTCTCCACAAGGAAACAGAGAGCGTGGAAGGGGGCCATCCTGTGACCAGGTCATGGAGACAGCCGGGCTATGCCTTCTGCTCATGCCACACATCCTGGGCAGGGAGCTGGGGATGCCGGGGGGTGGCCATGCAGAGCTGTGCAGTGTTGAGCTCTTGGGTTAGCTTTGGCTGGAGCCCAGGATGCCCTGGATCCATCTGAGTTAAGCCACTGCCCTCTGATGCTTGCAGTGGTGGAACCTGGTGCTGCCAACCCCGGGACCTGCAGCTCCGCTTTTGCTGGCTGGGAGGTGCACACGCGGGGCATTGGCTCCAGGCTCCTCGCCAAGATGGGCTACGAGTTTGGCAAGGGTGAGTGCACGTGTGCTGCATGGGGACAGGAGGGACTCCCCATCATGGCCCAGGGGTCCAGTGGCAATGCCAGCCTGGTGTTCCCCTAGGTCTGGGCCGGCGTGCAGAGGGCCGGGTGGAGCCCGTCCATGCTGTGGTGCTGCCGCGTGGGAAGTCGCTGGACCAGTGTGCAGAGATCCTGCAGAAGAGAACCCGGGGTGGCCAGGCTGGCGTCAGCAAGCCCCCAAAGTGCCGGGGCAGAGGGGGTGGAGCTGGGGGCCGCCCACCTCCTCGCAGTGTGTTTGACTTCCTGAATGAGAAGCTGAAAGGCGGGGCTCCAGGGGCCCCGGAGGTGGGGGCAGCGCCCCCCGGAAGGAGCGGCAAGGAGGTGTACCACGCCAGCAGGAGTACCAAACGGGCCCTGAGCCTGCGGCTCCTCCAGACTGAGGAGAAGATTGAGCAGATCCAGCGAGCCATCCGGGGCATCCAGGAGGCCCTTGCCCGCAATGCTGGCCGGTACGTGTGGCCCTGCCCCAGGCGCCTCACCCCTGCCCAGGTTCCCCTGGGAGAGTTCAGAGGCAGCGGTCTGGGTCTGAGGAGGGGCTGGAGGGAGACAGCAGTGCTGAATGTGGGTCCCTCCCTAGGCACAGTGTGACAACGGCCCAGCTGCAGGAGAAGCTGGCAGGAGCCCAGCGGCAGCTGGGGCAGCTCCGGGCCCAGGAGGCGGGCCTGCAGCGGGAACAGAGGAAGGCTGACACCCACAAGAAGATGACTGAGTTCTAGACCCCTGCATGTGTCGCGGATGGAACTGAGGGGCCTTGACTCCTGCTGCCCTCGGGCAGACAGCGGGGATGCCACCAGAAGGGCCAGCCTGCTCTGTGGCCACACTCCACAGAGGGCCTTCTTGCTGGCCTCCTGCATGTGGACACTGCTGAGCAGAGATGGGCTGCAGGGGCCCCTTCCTGATGCTTCCCTGCCCACTGAGTCCACCTGCTGGTGTCCTAGGGCGTCTCGTGAGCAAAGACATTAAAGTGACTTTGTCGCAGTGTCTGATTTCATCGGAGGCTCAACTGGCTGTGGGGTCCTTGGGGAGTAGGGGTCTTTGTGCTAGGTCACAGGGCTGGGCTGGAGGGGTCCTGAGTGAGCCTGCTGCCCCTGCCCAAGCTCAGAGGACCAGGAGGATGGGCCTCCTTGCTGCTCTCCCAGATGTGGGTCACAGCCTAGGATGCACCCCCACAGTGCCTGACACCCACAAATGGGTGGAGCTGGTGCTGCAGTGGTGGGAGGAGCCCTTGGCCGTGCTGTGCCCGGGGCAGCGCTGGTAACAGGGCAGGAGGACCCAGCAAGCTGGGGGTGTCGTGCAAGTCTCCTCACCCGCGCACCCACCTCATCATGGGTGGAGGCAGTGCCAACTCGCCCCACCAAGTGCCATCTGGGCCACAGCAGGTGGGCGTGGCTGCTGTGGCGGGGAGATGAGGTGAGGCGCACAGGAAGTAAAGTGGGGAGCTGGGCTGCAGGCAACAAAGGCACTGTGCTTCAAGGTGCCCAAGCTGCCCACCACTACAGACAGTGGAGCCGCGCTACACCCCGGTCTCGGTGAGTGCCACTCTGGCCTCCAGCCTGCGGAGGAACCACACCACGTCCTGGCCTCGGTGAGTGCCCACTCGCCTCCAGCCTGGCCAGGGCCCCAAACTCCTTAGTGCCTTCCTAGGACAGCTGAGGGCTGGAGTCTGGGAGGACTGGGCCCTCTGGTGAGGAAAGCCCACTTGCTGGGCCTGGGCAGACTGGCCCCCACCTCCAGAGACTCCCCACCCCATATCTCTGTGTGACCGGACACCTGCTCCCCACTGCCCCCAAGCAGCTCTGCCAAGACTTCAGGAAGTGGACATCCAATGGCAGGGGCAGTGGGAGGGGAGGGGTGGTGAGCCAGGGGGAGAGGGGGAGTCCATGTTCAGAGCAGCCCCTCCATCCTGCTTGACCCCCCAGCTTCCCAGTCCCTGAGGGGGCCAGTCTTTGGTGGATGGCCAGGGGGCACCACCTGGACAGGAGCCACTCCTGGGCAGGACATGGCTGTAGGTGAGTCTGTGGCCTGTGGCTTGCCTTCCTGGGGTGTGACCTGGGTCTCAGGTTCCACCTCTAACCACAGGAGGTCCTTGGTCAGGTCCCAGCTGCCCTGCCCCTTCTCACTGGCCCCATGCTCAGCCATCACTTGGGTCATCCTTGCCAACTCAGGTCCTTGTGGGGGCCAGTCAGAACACACCTCACACCAGCACCCCCCAGGCAGAGGTGGGAAGGTGGGCACCAAGGCTGTGTCCCCTCGGCCTCCGTAGGAGGGAGGGGCTACCGAGATTGGGGTTTCCTGTGTGCTGAGTCACAGCGCACGGCGGGGAGGGGACCTCCTGGCAGCATGAGACACAGAAGTGGGGCTGTCAGGTGGGTTCCCAGTCCCTCAGCCTCCAGCACCAGTCTTCAGCTTGCAGGCTCGTCCACATCTTCATAGGATGAGGCAACAGGGGTCCTCGGTCCCTCCTGCTCTCTGGGTCCTAGGGTGCCTCATGCTGCTGCTCTGGCTGTGGGTGTTGTGCACAGCCTGCAACAGGTATGTCCATCCCTGCCTGGCCTGGGTGGGGCCTGGCTCAGCTCTCCAGCCAGAGGGGGCAGGACTCAGGCAGGCCCAGCATGGCTCTGTACACATACTTCCTGACGGGCCTTGGACCAGAGGTTGACATCTCTGACCCGTGTCTCTGTCTCCCCGGGCTGATGACCCTCTGGCACCCAGGAAGCAGGCACGGAGACAGCTGTCCAGGTTGCAGGGCAGTGCGATGCCAGCAGAAGTGGTGAGTGCCAGAGTGCCCCTGGGGCCAGACTTTTCCTGGGGCCAGTGTTCCCTGGGGCCAGGGTGGGGCCATCTGGAGGCCGACCAGCCTTCCTTGCCCCCAGTCACTGCTAAGACGACCCTACCACTGCTCCCTCAGCAAGTCTGACACCAGGCTGCATGAACTGCACCGCAGCCAGCCCTGTAGCAGAGGTGAGCTGGTGGGAGGGCCGGGTCCTGGAGGTGGGCAGGCATCCCCAGATCCCCCAGTAACCTCTGCCCTCCCCCCACAGCCCCACGGCCTGCCAGCATGGATCTCCTACGTCCACAGTACCTGGAGGCATCCAGAGGCATGACCAGGCCCCCAGCACCCTTCTCACACCAGGAGCTGCCCCTGGCTGCGCCCTCCACTGGCCTGGAGGCCACCTATTCCAATGTGGGGCTGGCAGCAATCCCCAGGGCCAGGCTGGCAGTTAGCTCTGGGGTGTGGGCAGGGGCACGGCTGACCAGCAGCTATGCCAGGCCTGGGCCTGAGGCCAGACCTGTGGTAGCTGAGTATGCTTGTGTCCAGAAGCTCAGGGGAACAGATCGGGGCCCCCAAGGCCTGGGGCAGGGGAAGGTCGAGGCAACCCCACCCACTCAGGTAACCCAAAGGATGTGAGATAGGGTGGGTGGGACTGGGCAGGTCCTTCACTGAGTGGATGGCACTGACCCTCCCTGGGCTGGCTTCCTTTCTCCAGGTGGACATCCTGTATTCCAGGGTCAACAAACCTAAAAGAAGGGACCCGGGACCTGCCACAGACCAGCCAGACCCCAAAGGTGGGGGAGCAATTTTGGCTCTGGGGAGTGACCCGGCCTATGAGGTCCTCCCTCTTGGGGGCCTGGGTATGGACAAGAGCCTCCTGGAAAATGTGTATGAGAGCATCCAGGAGATGGGAGCAACTCTGGAGCCCCCCAGCTCCAGCTCCTATCAGGAAAGGACGTGTTCAGGACACAGAGACACTTCGCTTCCTGTCTAAGCCTGGAGAGGGGTCTTTATTGCCACCCTGCTCTGAACACCCAATTACAGATGATCCTTCCTCCAGAGTGGGCTGCGAACCCTCGTTTCCCCTACACGCAACTGACAACACAAATTCCAGACAGCAGCGCTGCCAGCCTGTGGGGTCCCCCGGATCCTGACTGCCATATCCTCTGCAGGGCAGGGTCTCAATAAAGCCCCAGATCCCTATACCTCGGCCTGCTCTTCCTCACCCTGGGAGCTTTGGGAGTGGGGTTTGGTTCAGCTGGGCGTGCCAGGTACTTGGGCCAGGTCAGCTGGGACTGCCTCTGGTCGGGCTCAGAAGACCTAGTGGGGAGGGGGGCAAGCCTTGGGGGCCGGTCGTCAGGCCGAAGGGTTCCTCGGAGCGGTGAGCTGGGCCGCACGGTGGGACCTGGACCCTGATCGCCAGGGAAGGCTCCACCACAGTCCCTGAAGTTACATAAGGGACGGGGGAGATGGGCAGTCAGTCGTACGTTAAAGAATAACCTGTTCCAGGGAGGACCGCCCAAGTGACGAGCAGAGACTCCCTTCGAGGAGCCGGCCAGCCCTGGGACCCGGGCGCACGGACTCAGGGGCGGGAGCCCGGCGGGCGGGCGGTGCCAGCCGGGACCCCTCCTAGACTGGCGCGGGAGGCGGCCAGCGCGGGAGCCGCCTGCCTGGGACGGGGCGTGACTGCGGAGCGGGCCAATGGGCGCGGGGCGGGGGCGGGACCTCGGGCCGCGCGGAGGGGGCGGGGCCGGTCGGCAGCCTCCGGGCGGCGCGGCGCGGGCGGCGGCCGATCCAGGGCGGGGGTCGGCGCCCCGGCCAGCCCGGCCCGGCCCGGCCCGGGGCCGCGTCCCGAGCGTCCGCCCTAGCCGCTGCAGCCTTGGTGTCCGGCCGGCCAGCTATGGAGGCCGAGCGCCCTCCGGCGTCCGGCCCGGGCTGCGGGCGTCCCCCACTCCGCACCGCCGGCCGGGACCCCGCGACCGCGCCCGTGTCGGTACCCGCGCCGCCGCAGGTACCGGGCGTGGGGCGCCGACAAAGTTCCCGCTGCGAAGATGGCGTCGGGCTGCACGAACTTTGGGCCCCCGGGCGGGGCGGGCTGGGGCGGCGCGTCGCCGCGCGTGTCCGTGGGTCCGGCGGGGCTGGGCCGGCGCCCGGAGTGCTTCCCGCCGCGACGGCTGGGGGCGGGGCCGGGGCGGGGCCACACCGGCCGCAGCCGGTTTGGGGGCGGGCACCAGTGGGTCTGGGTGGCGGTGGCGGTGGCGGTGGGGGTGGGGACCCGGCCGCTCCCCGCGCTGAGCCGGCCGCGTCCGCAGGGCCCTGCTGTGGAGTTCGCGCTGCCCCAGGAGCCGGAGCCGCGAGCCGCGGACCTCGGAGCCCCAGGGGCGGGGGCGGCGGGGCCCCCGACACCGTCAGCGCACATCCCAGTGCCAGCGCATAGGTGAGACAGGGCCCGACTGCCAGGCCAATGGGGGCGTGTGCACACGTGCGCCTGTGTGCAGGGGTAGTGGATGGGCGCAGGCTGGATCCTTCTCGACTTCAATCCCTCAGGGAGGCCTCGATGGAGGGCAGGTCAGCGTCCTGAACTGGGTTTCTGTCACTGCCTCCTGGCTCCCCTGCCCTGGAGGAGTTGAGTAGAAATGACCAATGTATTAGTATGCTTTGTTCACCTCCTCTCCAAACCCCTGGGATTCAAAACGCAGATCATGGAGGGGTGCATGTCCCTGTCTGTGCAGAAGAGGCAGTGAGGCCAGTGTGAAATTGACTGTCCAGGAATCCTGGGCCCAAATGACCATCTCCCCATCCCTATCTGCAGAGAAACCCTCCCTGGTGCCTGACCCCCTGGGCTGGCCGTGGAGGCAAGGGCCTGGCCTGGCCTGGCCTGGCCTCCTGGGGCCCCAGGACCCGCTTGTTCTTACAGCCCAGTCTCCCTTGGCTGCTGCTGACTGCTGGCTGCTCCCGCCCTCCCAGGCCTGGCTCTAGGCCCGCAGCTGCTGTTGCACAACCCTGGTTAATGTGTGATTGGGGGGAGGGCTGGGCATGGCCAGGCCTGGCGGCACTGGTCGGTGGCCTCAGACCCCTGCCCAGCACCAGGGTCTGAAGAAGGCATGGTGGAACAAAGGCCAGGCTGCAGAGAAGTAACGCTTTGGGAGGAAGACCCCAGCCCGAGCCTGTTCCTGATGGTTCCTGGGTATTTGGGACTTGGCAGCTCGAGCTGGGGGTGGGGCTGGGCATCTTGCCCAGCCGGCTCCTGGAGTGAGGGAGCCGGGTGCACACACGTGCCCAGGCCTGCACGTGTGTCGGGCCAGGGGGCGGGCCTGGAGTTACTTCTTGGGCCCTACCCACCCCCTACCCCCATCTCCTCCAGAAGCCCCCCAGGAAAAGCCCGACTGGATGAAGTCATGGCTGCCACAGCCCTCACAAGCCTGTCCACCAGCCCCCTCCTGTTGGGGGCCCCAGGTGTGACCTTCAGCACAGGTGAGCTGAGAGACCTGGCTTGGGCTAGGGGTGGTGGCGGGGCTCAGGATCCTACGAGCTGTCAAGCCCGGTGGGGCAGGCAGACTCCAGCTGGAATACCATCTTCCAAGTGCATCTCCTGAGTCCTGAAGTGGACATCAAGACATCCATTGCCCCTCCCTGCGGCCCCAGGACCTGTCTGTCTCCACCCGACAGGCCAGGCATCTCCCCACCCCAGATTCTTCTATTTTTCCTTCTCTGTGCTGGAAAGCCTTGTCCCCAGGCTGTAGTGGCCACCTTCTCCCTGCCACTGCCGCCTCAAGAGGTTCTTTGTCCTCCAAGCTCACCCAGGGACAGGTGAACAGAGGCTGTGCATTCAGGAACTTGTAGCCAGCAGCATCTGCAGCATAGCCTGGGCCCCAAAGTCCTGACACGGGAGCCTGTGTGTGTCCACAGAACCGTGCCTGGAGCCCTGGAGGGAAGCCCCGGTGCAGCCACCGGGCTGCGGCGGGGGCTGGGACCCTGCCAGTGACCAGTCTTCTCCGTCTACACCGTCCCCACCACTGCCCCCTGAGGCAGCCCACTTCCTGTTCGGGGAGTCCACGCTGAGGAAGAGGAAGGTGAGCTGGGGTGGTCCTTGGGGCGGGGTGGATGCGGGGGGTGCCCAGCCTGACCGCCCCCTGTTGCCCAGAGCTCGCTGCAGGGGCTGTTCCAGTGCCTGTGGAAGCGCTGCGGGAAGGTGCTGAGCTCCGCGTCGGGGATGCAGAGACACATCCGCCTGGTGCACCTGGGGTGCGGTGGGGCCAGGAGTGGGGAGGGGCGGGGTGCCAGGCAGGCTTCTGCTTCAACCCCACCTCCATCCCCCGTTACTCCCCCGACCTTGCAGGCGGCAGGCTGAACTGGAGCAGAGTGATGGCGAGGAGGACTTCTACTACACGGAGCTGGATAGCGGCCTGGACTTGCTGACCGATGGGCTGTCTGGCCTGACCCCAGGGTCCCCCACGGCCTCGGTGCCACCCGCCTTTCCCCGCCTGGAGCCACCGGAGCCCCTCGCCCTGCCCAGCCTTCTGCGCCTGCCTGCCCTGCCCCCACCCTCGGTGCTAAGCACCACATCCCCCTCCCAGGTGTGCCCCAGTGACCATGCCCACCAGGTGGGTGAGGCCGCGGGCGGTTCCCAAGGAGCACGAGGCCATAGCGGTACCTCCTCTCAGGGCTGCCTGGCACCCGTCCGCCTGGAGCCACAGCCCACTCCTGTCAGGGCCTGTGCACCAGCCCTGCTCGCCAAACCCAGTGCCAACCCGAGGTGCGTGTGTGTAGAGGGGCCAGGGTGGGCGCCAGGTAGGGAGGGGCCCAGCCCCAATAGCACCCTATGTATCTGTGTGTTCCCCCAGGAAGCCCAGGGGTGATGCCAAGAAGTGCCGGAAAGTGTACGGCATGGACCACCGGGACCTGTGGTGCACGGCCTGCCGCTGGAAGAAGGCCTGCCAGCGTTTCCTGGACTGAGCCTGCCCAGGGCTTCTCGAGCTGCAGGGTCTTCTTTTTAAGAGGGGAGGTCCCCACCACTCAGAAGTGCCTCTGAAGAAACCAGCCTTTGGCCTTTTGCACTAAAGCCAAACCTCACCGCTGTCCCCTCGGCCTGGGGTGGCCGCCCCTCATTTGGCCCTGGACTTGTCAGGAGTGTGACGGAGCCACACAGGGCGTCCTCGATGCACTTTGAGGGGTATTGGGGGGGCGCCCCCTGCCCGCACTTCACCTGACTGAGGGCCCAGGCGCATGTCTGTGCCGTGTTTGCTCAGGTGTCTCACGTCTGGGCTGAACCAGGCGAAGAGTAAAATTAAAGATTCGGGACTTTTCCAAAAGCTGTGTCTGTCTCCTGGGTGGGAAGGGACATGGATTTGGGACCCTGCCACAGGCAGGGGTAGCAGATGGGCAGAGAGGAGGCCAGTAGCCAGGCCACAAAGGGCTATGGGGGGGGGTGCCCTCTGGCCACCTCTACCCAGGGCAAGGCCGAAGGAGGGGACGCTGTCTGTAACACACACAAGGCGATGGCTCAAGCAGCAATTTCCCGATTTATTGAAAGTGATCGCTTTGCAAGAATATCTAACTAATCCCGTCACAGAGATGAGACCACAGGGGTCCCAGAGCGCACCCAGCAGATAAGAAATCTCAAGACCACTAGGGAGGAGGTGCTGTTGGCATCGATGGCTCCAGGGAAACAGGCAATAGCCCTGTTGTTCCACCGACCGATTACAAAAGACCCCCCACAAATGTGAAACACATTTCCAATACAAACACAGGTTTATAGTCATTAATATAAAGTTGATATAATATAGATTATCCCCAGAAAAAAAAAATCAACAATCTTCAAACACTGCCTTTTTTTGTCTGTTTTGTTTTTGTTGACAGGTTGAAAGCATGTTGAAAAAATAAATATTTAAGAAAAGCACACACACAGCGCCCTCACTACAAGGAGTTCTAAAAAGGGCCGGGTACAAAACACAATATAGGATCTAAAAATAAAAACACCATAAAGTATGGCTTTCTTAAGAGTTGCACATGTCACAGAATGAGCGAAAATAAGATTATCTTTCATATAATATTGCAAAAAGTTCCAGTTTTTGCATTTTCTCAAGAGTTCTCTTTTCTAAAAAGGAAGATGTGCAAAGTTGGAAGCAGTAGCTGTGTCCTTTCAATCGAGGTCCCTATCCAGTCCTGGCAGTGTTGTGACTGTTCCCCAAACCCAGAGTCCAAACATACAACCCCGTCAGGATCCAGAGCTTGATACAAAATCTTGGTTCCCCGCCCCTCCCCTACCCCAAAGAACGAGCCACCTGATGGCCCACCTTCCACGTTGGTGATGCAGACGCCGAACACAGACGCATACACGGGAAGGTACAAAAATGTGAGATGTGATCTACACGCTTTCCACTTCATAAAAAAATATTTATTAGTTTAAACATTGCTTTGAAAAAAAAAAAAAGACCACGGTAAAAAAAAAATCTTCATTACATGTCTTTCCCTTCACGTTTGCCTCCATCTCTGAAATCCAGCTCACATAAGAATTAACATAGGGGCTCGGGGCGGGAGGTGAGTTTCCCAGTGAAGTATCGTTTTGAGGGAGAAAATGCCCCTGTGGCACCGAGGGCCCCAGAGGGGTCAGCCAGGGTGGTCCAGAGTGGGAGTGGGCAGGCCCTGAGAGTGGCGCAGAGGTGGCCCTGTACAAAACCCAGAGATGCTTGGTAGCAAAGGTCTGGTTTCCAAATGCATCTGATAAGAAAGTAAGTCTTGTTTATAAAAGGGGTTAGAAAGTGGGGTGAAGGTACACAATGGGGAGCCCCTCCGAGTGGCTCAGACAGGCCCCACTATGAAAGGCAGAAGGGGGCGCAGGCCCCAGAGCCCCCTCACCCTGGGCTCCTGCCCTCGCCGTCCGGCCCTTCCCTCAAGGATGCCGACAGTTGAGGATGGGAGCACAGTCCTCTTCTGAGAAAAAACGTGGCTGATGGTGTTTAAAACAAAACAAAACATGAAGCTGTGACTTCTCCCCTGGGCAGGGATTCAAGGACAGCACCATCCAGGTGCCTGCAGCCAGCCCTGACTGCCTCCCGCCACCCCCAGAGCAGCCACCTGGGAGGGCTTGGTGGAATTGGCCTTTCTCCGTCTAGAAAGAGGAGAGGGAACCCGGCAGGAACGCAGGGAAGCCATCTGGTGCAGGCTAAGTGAAGAGAGAAAACCCAGCCCAGCTCTCCTCCAGTCCCAGCTCAGCACCGCAGGGCCCTGACTCGGGGTCCCACAGGGGTTCCCAAGAAAGGTGGGTGCAGGGGATGGAATGCATGTGTCACGAGCCTTAAGGAAGACAGGCTGGCACTGGACCGGCAGCCAGATGGGGACAGGCAGCGGGCAGTGTCCTCATGGCACGAGGTGGGACCCTGGCCCCTCGAGAAGGGTGGATGAGTTCGTTTACAAGACGGCGAGGCTCGGGAAGGAGCCAAAGGAAAGACAACTCTGAAGATAATGCCGAACAAAACCATTTCACGTGCCGGCCTCAGTTCCCTTAGCAACCCACGGAACTGGGGCCCAGAGCACCTGGGGAGTGGGGTGGCCCCCGCGGGCGGCGTGAGCAGCATGGGCGTCAGGGACACCCTCCGGCGTTAGCAGCAAGGAAGGCAAGCCGCCCGGGAGGGTCAGCAGGAGTGGCCTAGGCGCAGCAGGACGGCAGGGCTGAGGGGCAGGCCGGCCCGGCCCTCAGAGAAGTGCACACGGAGAAAGAGGAGGCGCCTGCAGTGGGAGCACCTGGGCCCGCCCGCCCGGCTGCCTCCGTGGGGAGATAGCACCTGGGCGCCCTGGCCAAGGTCGGCAGCTGCTGTGTGTTGAGCACCAAAGCCCAGAGGTGGGAGGGCCGCAGGCCTTTGTGGACGCCCGACCTGGATCCCACAGGCTGCCACTGCAGGCACAGCCCTTGAGCCTCCAGCAGTCCCTCTGCTGCTGACAAGGGGCGGGGGGACTCAGCCCTGGATGGCCGGGGTCGGTGGAACTCTCCTAACAGCCCCTGGACCTGGGTCTCAGGGCCACAGAGGAGGCCCTGGCCAGGGCTGACCCCTTCCTGGCCGCCGGCCTCCTGGGCTCCCCTGAGGCCCGCCATGCACCCCAACTGGGGGAGATGCTGCGGGCTCTCTCAAGGCTCAAATCCACTCTGCGCCCCCACCCTGTGTGTCCCCAGCCCCGCTAGCCGGGGCGGCGGCCGCCTCAGAGCCCCAGGTTGCTGTCCACGAGGGGTGGGGGGTAGCAGGGGAAGGGGCCCGGGGCACACACAGGTGAGGGCGGCCGCAGCCCATTGCCCGCCTGGCCTAGGAGATCCAGGCGAAGTCCTTGTCCGCGCCCCCATTGGGGCTGTGGGGCCCCCGCGGCGAGTCCTCGTCCTCCTTGTCCCCCAGCAGTGCATCCTCGGGGGCTAGGCCCACGTCTTCCTCATCCTCGCCCAGCTCCTCCTCGCCCTCACCGCGTGGGTCCTCGGGGTCCTCCAGGTATGGCCCGTCTCCCGTGAACAGCTCAGGGGAGCCCTCTGCGCCGCCACCATCCAGGGACCCGGCCCCGCTGCCACCTGCGCAGTCGGCACACACGCCATGGCGCCGTGAGCCGTGCTTGATGCCCACGCTGGCGGCCGACATGAACACACGGCTGCATAGCTTGCACACGTACTTCTTGTCCTTGCTGTGCACCTGTGGGGGCACGGCTGTCAGTGTGGGGGGCGGTCAGTGCCAGGGGATGACGGTCAGTGTGGGAGGACAGAGGTCAGTGGGGGGGGCTGGCAGTCAGTGCAGGGGTAGACGGGATGATTGGGGGGCCCAGAGGGTGAGGTCTGGGTGGGAGGTGGAGACTCAGTCCACTAGGCAGCTCACACCCCTAACCCTGGCCAGGGGTCAAGGCACAAAGCCAGGACATACAGAATTGCAGGTGTCACCAAAACTTGTTTCCATTCAGAGGTGTGCTGGGCACCAGGCTGGTCATGTCCCCCAGCAGGACTGGCCCCAGGCTCAGATCTAACTGGAGGTTGTGCTGCTCCCCATACCTCCCAGCAAAAATGGCAGAGCAGTCACCTCTGCCACACCCAGGCTTTTGCCCCACAAGGGGATGGATGGGACCCCAGTGGCTGGGGCATGGGGGTATGGATGATGGGAGCCTCGGAACAGCAGTGACCAGGTGTGACTCGACCACCTGACTTCTGGGAAGCCGTCAGGACAGCCCAGAGCTGGGCTGAGTGCTGACCCACAGGGCAGGCAGGGCTGGGGGCTCGGAGGGGAACAGTGAAGTCTTTCTGAATTCTCTGACCGACAGGCCTACGGAGGGACCCGTACATGTGCCTGGCTGAGTGCCCTGGACTTCTCAGCTAAGGGGTCCCACAGACCACCTTGAAGATCTGCCCTACTGTGCCCTTACACTAAACCTCAACCACGAGGACCGAGGACTGCTGCCAACCAGCCTGGGCAGGTGGGAGGCCAGACACAGCCTGAGATGGACGTCAGGAGGAACTGGTCCTCCTCACAGAATCTGATTTCAGAACAGAGCCTCAGATCATTAGATCCAGGGGCTCTTCCTGCTTCTTTTCATTTGCTACATTTTAAATCCAGGACTTATGCAACCCTCTTCCAACCAGAGAGCTAAGACTTCAGTCTGGTCACAGCAGGGTTGGGCAGTGGGGGCAGCTCCTGGGGAGTCATGGGAGCCTGTCCACCAGCACCAGATGGCCAGACACTTGTCTGAATGGATGCATGGATGGGCAAGGAAGGATGCGGGTGCTATGGCGGTGAGCTTGGACTCACTCTCTCACTTGGCTTACTCCGTCAGGGTCATGCCTTGGCCCCCCTGGATGGCCAGCCCTGTGCCAGGACGCACCTGGGCCCCTCACCGCAGAGATGTGGTCCCTTTATGCCTCCTGGTGGTTTGCTCTGCTGGCCAGCCCATGCAGCCCTGAGGTCCCTTCACTCACACCACCCGACGTTCTCTCCTGCCCCCGCCCCGAGTCACCTGACCTCTCTGTTTTCTCACCCACCCAAGGGTTCCTCGCTTGCTTTTTGGTGACTCTGCCTGCCTCGAGGTTTCAAGCACGATCTTCTCTATCACTTCCTGGCCAAGCAGATACATCCACACAGCACCTGCTCCTGAGCTGCGAGCCAGGCTGTCAGACCTTCCAGGGGCCGTGGGGTCCCATGGCAAATGCAGGGCGGGAGTGGGAGGGCCACGGAGGAAGTGGCTGCGAGGTAGGAGCCCTGGGCCGGGGGCAGGGTCCTGGCAGGGAAGGAGGCGCCTGCAGAAGCCGGGCTGGGGCAGAGGCGGTCTCAAGGGAAACTGAGGGGTGGGGCCGGGGTGATGTGCCCATCTGCCTTCTGCACCTGGGGCTGGGGGCAGAGCCGGTCAGGAGGGATGTGGGGGTCCCTGCTGTCCTGGTCTTTCCCACTGCAGAGTGGACCCCACTTCAGGGCTTCCCTTGGCACCCTGACACCCCACATCCTCATCCTGCCTGGACAAAGCGTGCCCGGGACCGACCCCTGCTCCCCACACTGACCCCGTGATGACCCCACGCCGCCCTGGCGTGGCCCCGCCCCCAGCGCCGCTCACCAGCGTGTGCCGTTTCATGTGCTCCCGCCTAGTGAACTTCTTCCCGCAGATCTCGCAGGGGTAGGGCCGCTCGCCAGTGTGTGAGCGCATGTGCCGCTTGAGGATGCACTGGTGCATGGCCGAGAAGCTGCAGTAGGGGCAGCGGAACTTCTTCCTGATGACCGTGAACTCGTTCACTGCAAGACAGACAAGACAGATGACTGCCGGTCAGCCCCAAGCCCCGCCCAGCCCGCCCCGCCAGGCCTGGGCCCGGGCCAGAGGGGGCTGTGTCCGTGCTCTGAGAAAGTGCGCCTCTCGGATCAGCCGGTACCTCCTACATCAGCCCTGAAACACACGAGTCCACACGCGCGGCATCAACAGACCCATCTCCACATGGTCCACACCTCCACATGGCCGCGACAAGGTATGGGTGCTGCCTGGTGGACACAGACTAGTGAGAGGCCGCCAGGCCCAGACACACAGCGAGCAGCCGGCCCCAGCAGGGCCCAGAGCAAGCGGTCCAGGGCATGTTTTGTCCAGGCAGGATGGGGATGTGGGGTGTCAGGGTGCCCACATTTCAGGGAGTGACACTGTGAGCCCCAGGCTGGGGCCACATTCTTGGGGGCTCATGGGGGACAGTACTACTGTGTGAGGCCCACCGGGCACTAGGGCAGCTCATCCTGAGTGACGCCCCCTGTGCTGGGCAGTCACGGACACCATAGTCACCTCCCTGAGCCAAGGGAGGTACGAGGGGCACCCCGTACCCAGACCCATGGCTCCTGGGTCGGTCACCCGAGCTCACCAGGGTTGCTGGGAGGCCCTCCCAAGTGCTTGGTGGCACTTCCTCCCAGGAGGGGAGCCCAGGATGGACATCTGTCTCAGGTGTCTGGGATCAGCCCCCCGGCCCTCATGCCACCCACAACACTCACCGACTGCACCCTAGCACCCACACCCAAGGGACAGACCAAGGGTCCTGACCATCAGGCCAAAGGCAGGCAGGTGGAATGAATACCAGCAGCAGGAGGACCCCTTGTCAGACCCCGCCAAACATCCGCACCCAGCAGGGCCCAGCCCTGGTCACAGCTGCCCCTGGAGGCACCAGAGGGAAGCAGACAAGAAACCAGTGGCCACAGCATGACACAGCTAGCGGGGCAAGGAGAAGCTGGGGAAACTACAGTGACTGAAGCTGGCCTCTCTCACCCAAGAGAGCTGGCCAGGCTGCTGGACATGTGACAGGATGGCTCCGTCAGCCCAGTTTCCCCAACCCCAGGCCACCTAGCATATCACACGGATCAGGGCCCTCACCACCCATCCATTCTGCTTCTCAGGCCCCAGCCCCAGGCAGGTTGCCATAGAAATGACGCCCAGGGGTTGGTGCAGTACGTCAACACTGAGTCCAGAGGCCCTGGACACGCCTATGTCTCCACAAGCATAGAGAAGTGGGTGTTCACTCTGCACCTCTGACCCTGAAAACACACCAGGCAACAGGGAGCAAGACATTTTATTTTGCTTCTTAAACAAGCTGTTACTTTGCTGACAAAGGTCTGTATAGTCAAAGCTATGGTTTTTCCAGTAGTCATGTATGGATGTAAGAGACGGACCATAAAGAAGGCAGAGCACAGAAGAACTGATGCTTTCAAACTGTAGTGTTGGAGAAGACTCTTGAGAGTTCCTTGGACTGCAAGGAGACCAAACCAGTCAATCCTAAAGGAAATCAATCCTGAATATCATTAGAAGGGCTGCTGCTGAAGCTGAAGCTCCAATACTTTGGCCACCTGATGCGAAGAGCCAACTCATTGGAAAAGACCCTGATGCTGGGAAAGATTGAAGGCAGGAGGAGAAGGGGACGACAGATGGTTGGATGGCATTGCTGATTCAATGGACATGAGTTTGAACAAGCTCTGGGAGACGGTGAAGGACAGGGAAGCCTGGCGTGCTGCAGTTCATGGGGTTGCAAAGAGTCGGACACGACTGAGTGACTGAACAACAACAAAAATCAAGCCATAGGTTTTCTCCTGAGACATCTTAAAGGGCATCTAAATAATCAAGTGGCCAGATCCCTTTATTTCCCAGAACACTGTCAGTGAGACTGTCCACAGGGCCTGCCGGGAGCCTGGCTGACCTCATGGACCCGCACTCTCCCTCTGTCATCTCCCGCACCCCATGGAGTCAGACACCAGGGACACACTGCCCAGGATGACCCCTGTCCATGCACAGGCCAACAGCTTCACCAGGGGAGGCCATCACAGCCCCAAGATGGGCTGTGTGGAAGTCATCACAGCTCAGAATCCATGCCACCCCCAGGCCCGCCGCCTGCCCATGTCTGTACACATAGAGGGGCTCCACGTCCCCACCAAACCTGGACATGGCCACCAGGCCTCTCTCAGCATCCAAGCCTGTCCTAAGAAGTAAGGTATTTTCTCACGTCTAGAAACTTCCGACATGCGTGTGGCTGGGAGCCAGGGTGGACGGGAAGGCACCGGGAGGGAAGTGGGTGAGACCAGGCGGTGAGAGGCGTGAACAGTCACCATTCACTGTCCCTTCACA